TGCACTATAACCACAATAACTCCTGTAACAACCACTGTGCAACTATATTATATGTTTTTTTTATTTATTGACTGTGCAATATTCTGTGCAATATGCTGACTGTGCGATATATGTGGATATAATAGTCATACCACTACCTCACCGTTGTTCCTTACCTACTACACTTTAATGTAAAAGTCAATCCACCTGTATATAAGCCATACTGATTGTACATGTCACCTCAAATCTCTGTGTTACTCCCTTGTATTATTTTATTTTTTTTATTTCTTACTTTTATTTATTTTTATTTTATTTTTATTCCTAATGCACCTTTTCCTCCTTGTTTGCACCTTCTTTAAGTACTATGCCAATATGTGACCAGTGGATTTCTCCGCTGTAAGATCAATAAAGCTCATCTAATCTATAGTGACGCTTAAAAGTATAATGTTCTCGCCTCAAATGATCTTAAAACGAACTTTTATTGATTAACGACAACAGCAAAAAGAACTTTTAACTTAACACTCTGAGGTCCGTGAGCGCTCCACTAGAAGCTGCTGCTGCCGCAATGCTTGCTGGGTAAAGATGGAGGGGCGAGAACAACATCCGGGAACTGTCCGTTCTCTGTCTGCTGTTCAAGTGAATTGGAACAGTGCCGGGGTTGAGGCTGATGTTTCACGAGTACACGAGAACGCACGAGTACACATATTGAGAAACAGGCTCTATAAAAGAACAATCGTAGTTTCCAGGTTTAGCATCCCTTAAAGCAGCCGGACTCTCGCTTAACAAAGCGATAAAACAGCTGTACTGTCGGACCAAGAATTTAAGAAATCCTGCAGTTACAAGAAAACACATTAACCCCTCTAGAATAAATCCTAATCAGAGAACCAAAATATATCTGATCAGGAAAGTTTCATATCTGTTTTGTTGCTTAACAACTTTTAGCTTAGTTAGCCCTGGTGTTCAAGGGAATGTCTGACTGCTGAAAGCCGACCCTCTGGGTCACATGACTCATTCAGCGAAGGATCCGACCCTCCAAAGTAACATAGATGAGTTTTTCACAAGAGCAGCCCCCATAAGCAGAGATACATAACAAGTGCTGCATGTTGACCTGGAAAATCACTGAATGGATCTCAAAATAAGCCAATATTTGGGCCAAAGTTTCCACTGTTTCTTTAACCAAAGGTCTACATGTCACCACCCGATCCGTCCCGGGAGCACGATCCGTCCTGCGCAAACAGATATGCATCCGGGTGTCAATAAATAATTTAATTATAGTACTAAAATTACTTATTTCTATCCTTAACTCACTAAAGAATGCTAATACACATCTTTAAAAATGTTTTATGAATTTTTTCATGCTTTTACATTTTCTTCGTTAAACTGCTTCTCTGATGTCATCATGGGACATGCACAGAGCAGTCCAGCAAAATATGATTAAACCGTGTTTATCTGCATTTTAGTTGTTTCTTTCTTTAGGCTACGCACTATATACCATAAAGTTAAAAAGAAACAAAAACATAAATTTCAAAAAGACTAGATTTATGTTTAAATCCAAAGCCGAAAAAGATGGCCACTGGAAGTAGCGTAGGATCCCATTTCTGGTGCAGATAGGGCAGAGACGATTGATGAAACAGGATTTTAAGGCATTTACTTTCTAAGGTAATACATTATTAACCTTTAACCCATTATATTTTAGTATGTTTACTGTTTTTGGGGAGGGAAAAACTTAATTTAGGTCTTTTTAACAAAATAAAATAAGAGGCGACCCGGATGTATATCTAGATGCGCAAATGAGCTGATGCTTACAGGACGGATCAGGTAGTGACACTACAGACATAAGCTCATGCTTATAATTGGCGAGTTGTTGGGTACGACCGATATGTTTGTAACAATGATGGAACGTGCACATTTTTTTAAAACTCGTACTGGACTCTCCGTTCATCGTCCATCTGTCCTTGTGCCAGATGGTAGAAAGTTTTAATTTCCACCCTCGCCTGATTTCATGACTTCAGATGCCAATAAATGTCTTACCGGGCACAATAAACATAAAATAAAAGCGGACATATTCAAAGTGCAGTTAACCTTGACACAATATCAGCATTACATCAGCAGCTTTGCTCTCCGGGTAATCATTAACCGCCAAAATGTTCCAATCTGTCAATCATTTGCTAGTACAAAGGAATCATCTATTTAAACAATGCAAAGAAAATCATTTAGTTGTGTAACCATGCAGAGTGATTAAGGTAAGTCTCTAGTTTTATTTCCCAGGGAAGGTTTCATCTATGGCATCCTGCTTGTATCTGATTTCTCTGATTTGTTCCGTCTGGCAGCAGCTAAAACTCCCGAGAACAAGAACAGATGGTGGTGTTTCTTAAGTCAAGCAGCAGCTTTTTGCATCCCAGATAAATCCAGGCCACCGGGACTCTGTTCTTTAGCAAAAGCTAACATCTATATGTCAAGAACACCAGATCCAAGCTTCAGTTCAACCAAAGATTCTGAAATAATCAGTGAATCAAGTGTGAGTCAGTCTGTATGAGTTTTACCTCCTTGGGCGGCGGAGAAGGGCAGACGCATGGGCTGGTCTCTAGGAGCGAGGCCTCTGAGCAGGTCTGAGCGCTGCCCCATGGTGGCCCCAGGCCACTGGTGCATCTGCTGGGATGTGATGTAGTCGTTAATCAGGGTCTGACGGTTCTCCAGGGACGTGTCAGGAAAACCACGGATTAAATGGTAGGGGTAAGGGTACGCTGGATTGGGAGCCATATGGCGAGGCAGGTAGTAAGCAGCTGTGAAGAAAAGACAGAAAATATAGGTTATTTAAAGCCACACACCATAAATGCATATCACTTACACGTCCAACTCCATCTACATATTTAAGGTGACCAGAGTTTTAGTA